TACATGAGTGAAAGAAAGAGGATAGGCACTTGAGTGGAGCTTACAGAGATAATGATTTAAATTCTAAGCACCTTTCTTAGTTAAAGGTTTGTAAATATTAAAATGCTTGAATCCCTTCATGGAGTTGAAGGAGTCAAGTCAGGGTTTTAATAAGGGAATAAAATCACTGTTGAATCTCAATGTGTTGAGGCTGGAGAACAGAATTCTTATAAAAGGCAATGTGAGTTATAGAAGCCAGAGGGGCCTGCTCAGTTTTGAAAGTGGGAGACACCAAAATCATCATATCAGTCAAAGGTCCTGCCCACCCTCAAAAAACAAACAAACAAACAAAAAAAAACACTTGGCAGTAAACTCAGAGAACTTATTGAAGACACTATATATAGTAGCAGGGGGAAAATTCAACGAAATTACAGAAACAGCAGGAAATCATTCCCTAGATTTCATGCAATAAGAAGAGGAAATGTTTTTCCCAGAGTTGAGAGTTGGCACTATGGAAGAGAGCACCCTTGGCACAGACACTGCTGTGGATGTTCCAAAACACAGAAGCAGCAGGGCAACTCAACCCAACTGTGTCTCTCCTCTACCCATTTATAGCCTGCCTACCTTTCATTGATCAAACCCAATCAGCAGACAAGGATGTATTATTCTTCCACTCTCACGGTACTCAACCTATCTTGGGTTGGTCATGATACTAAGGCATAAAATAAAGTGCTGTGCGTGAAAGGAGTTCAAATTGGAGTTTCAGGAAACAATGGATTCCTTAGTTAATTTGTCAGCTAAGGGTACTGCAGATCATCTGATTATAGATCTCTAGTAGGCAACTGGAAATATGAGTCTGGAGTTCAGAGAACAAAGCGCAGTTGAAAATACAGATGTAGGAATTGTCAGATTAAAATAGTTGTTAAAGCCGTAAGAATGTGTAAGGTAGCTAAGACAGAGTATGCAGGGAAACACAAGACCAAAGTTAAAATTCTAGAAGCCTTGACATAGTAGGGGCATAGAGATGGAGGCTGGTGGTAGTGACAGAGACAGGGCAATGAGAAGAGTTAGGAAGGAGCCAGAAGAGTGGAATCTGAAAATTTAAGGGAAAAGAGTGTTTTATGAAATTAATCATGCATATCAAATGTGATAGATCAATTGTAAAAGAAATTACTAAATTTCTTAATTGAAAGGCCATTGGTGATCTCCACAGATGCAAAAGAGTTGTCTACCATAAGGCTCCTGCTGTTAGTACAATTTGGCTAACTAAAACTTAGAATGTATTCACTATATCTGTAGATGACTTTTTGATGAACAGGATTGCTAATGATTTCAAAAACAAGTCTTAGTATCAAAGTAAACAGTAAGTGACTAGCTTGAAAATACACACATATCTATACACATAACGGAATTTACAAGGCATGTATACAGATATCACACAAAAGTATATAACTCTGAGAAAGAACTGAATAAGAATAAGTAATAAACAAAAGTATTTGGAAATGCATTATTTTCACATCAATAAGACTGCTATTATCACAGATACTGTAATCTTGTTTTACACCTTACAGAATGATGTATTAGACTATCAGCATATGAATTCCCCACCAGAAGTAATTTCTGCTATACATTTTTGAATGCTTAGTACATGGAAGTGAAAATGAAATGACCTAAGATCAGTTAATTTCAATTATTGCACATAGAGATGACTATATCAGGTTCTATATGGTACACACATTGAACATTGACTCCAGTGTTTGCTATCTATTTTTACCAAATTTTTCAAAAATTTCAAGTTTAATATTTCTTCCTGTTTTGAATTTTTCTCTAAACAACTTGTATCTTATGAACTTTAAAGTCCTGGAGTCTTTCTTCTACATTTTTGAAGATGATGAAGGGGATGGTGAAGAGATAAGAGAAATGGGGAAGAAAAGATGCCACATAAATGTAATAGAGATGTCAGATAAAGCCCTTGCCTCTCAAAAACTGAAACCTACTTGTTGCCGCAGTCTGGCTGGGCACAATTCACCAGCCACTTGTCAAGTAGAAACAAACTTTATTTTTAGAACACACACTCCACACCACACAAGCTCTTCAGGAATTCCCTTAGAGCCCAACTGCCACCACTGGCTTCCAACAAGCCTCTCAACTCCCCCTCCTCCCGCTCTTGAGGCTGATTGGCTGGGTCACGTGGGTGGAGTCAAAAGAGTCCCCCAATGAGCAGCTCCATGATCTGAAAGGGCGGGGAAACAGCCCAATGAGCATCACTGTAAAGAAGCCAATCAGCTGGCAGCTGGAAGTTTGCTGAGGCCACGGTGAGCCAATCAGCTGGAAGTTTGCTGGGGCCCCTTGGCTGTGGCTCTCAACAACTTGTATTTGACTTTACCCCTTTCCTCAACTGCTAGAAGTTTACTTGTCCCCACAATTCCTGAATCTCCAGGCATTGTGGTAGAAGGTCCACTTCCATCATTCCTATGGTCTGCTTTATTTTCTTCCATATATCTCTCATCCATGTAGTTCAACTCTTTCCTTAGTTTCAACAATGACAATAACAAAAAATTTACTTATTCTAAGTACTTCACAAGTTTTCAAAACACTTTCAGAGTGAGTTATGAGTCTTATCACAACTTCCTCTCCTTATCTTTCTACCTCCATTCTCTTGCCTCCTATCCTTCCCAACCATATATGGCACCCTAGCACTCAGCCTCAAAGTTTTTCCAAGAAGAGTAGCTTCTCCTGTCCTCTAGAATCTTAATTTCAAAGAGGGGATGATGCTCATCTTCTATGAAACTTTCTTATAAAAACTCATCAAGCCTCTTAGCAGAACCATGTCACGAGTATGGAAATGAACCATTCTCTCCATAAAAGACAATGAAAAAATCACATATATCCTTCATAAAATACCAGAGATCTGTCGTTAAATAGCTTACTTCAGGTCAAATTCTGTCTTCTAAAATGTAATAAACCCCCAGAGTGGAAATCTAGTGGAACAGAAGTTAGTATTTATAAAGAAAACATTAGACATATTCTCTGCATTTGTCATATATAAACATCTCAATGCAATTTCTCCAAGAAAGTGTACCTAAGATACCAGAAAATGTTGTAAAATTGGAAAGGGAAATTAAAAGGCCATGTGCTACTTAAATTTATTTCCTGAGCCCTCAAGTATGTAAATGAGGCAAGAAGTGAAAAACAGCAGGTCAGGTTCCCACTTCTTCTATTGAAATGTTATCACAATTCAACAGACTAGAAAAGGGGCAAGTCTGTGATATGCTAATGACTTCAAACTGGGAAATGTGTGAGTTTCTAGACCTTGGGGAAAGCTCATTAAAGCCTTTAGCCTAAGAAAAAGTTCACTTTGGTCTTTCATGAAAACTAGAACTTTCTTTTTCCTTGCCTGTTTCCTATTCTTATATGCTCCAAAAACTCTTTCTACCGTTTGGTCTTAAATTTTCTTCTTTAAGCTAAGATTTATATTTGCTTCCTTCCTAAGCAGTTTGTTTGCTTCTTCCTTAACTTACCTTTTTCTTTTGAAGAGAGAACTGGTTTCCATTCATTTATTCCCTGCACTCCAACACCCAACCTATTAAGATTTTAATAGTTTGGGGAGCAATCATCCAAGGTATGATTCATAAGAATCGGAATTGATGCTTAGCCATGGCATTTCTTTGCATCTCATTATCATGGGAGAGAGTGATTATACTAGCTAATATTTATCCATTTGGGCAAAGGTTTAGGCTGTGTTTTTGAAATCTAAATCCCTTAGCTTTTTGGAAATGAGAAACATTGTATTCTATCTGACCTTTGTCTCCTTAATTGGGTCCTCTTCTTTTTCCTAAACATTGTTGTTCCTAAGATTGCAACATGGACAAGTAAGTTATACACTCTATGTTCTATCACTCTTTATTTTCCAAAATTTTTGTGTGTGTACATCTGTGTGTGTGTGTGTGTGTGTGTGTGTGTGTGTGTGTGTAAAGTCTGGTGCTCAGAAAAGTGGGAGATTTTAGAAAAAAAATTAAAGAACTGAAATTAAATAGAGGATGTTTCCTAATCGTAAAAGGAGTTGTAATCAGAATACATTCAGGATTTCTATTAATCAACTAGAAGATGCAAGATAATTTAAAAGCTAGAAATCAATAATAAAATATGGCAAGAAAATTCTCAAAAACTTTGGAAGAATTAAAACACTTTAAGATAACCACATGAAAAAGAATAAAAGAAGCAGATAAATTCTTAAAAACCACAGCTAATTAAAATTGTCAGCAAAAAAAGTGAGACGATCTGAATAGTACTATTCTTATTGTAAAAAATAAAGCCAGTAATTTAAATCCTTTCTACCAAACATCAAAAGAAACATCAACAAAAATAATCCTCCAAGTCTAGAAGGCTTGGATGTCTTCAACATCCAAGGGAAAAAAAGTATCACATTTACATTTATCAGGAAAATAAATGAGTAAACACTATCCACTATTTTTATCAGACCAGAATGAGACTGTAACCTGTCAAAAATTCTAGAAAAGAGGAATATCATAGACTAAGCTGTTATGAACACATGTGTGTAAAACACTTACATAGCAAAACATAAAAAATAAAAAAATAATTAGAGTGATACATAAAAACAATAATTATATCATGACAAAATGAGGTTTATAACAAAAATGGTTGGTTCAACTTTAGAATAAATCACAAGATTCACTATCTCAACAGAATAAAGAAGGAAAACCATACGATCTGAAAATATGCATCAAAATTTGAAAAAAATTAAATAATTATATAAATTTTAAAATAAACTTAAAATATCAAAAGAATTAACAACCTGAAATCTTATGTGAAAACTACATTTCCAAAAAAGCAAAGATCATAATAAATATCACATATGGAAAGCTTTCTTTATGCAATCAAAAATGAGATAATAATATTGATACAGAGCTAGAGACTTCCAAGAAACTGAGGCAGCTCAAAGACCCCCTCTTCAAACACTGATTCTTGTGGTCAAGTCAAAAAGGTTTAAGACTCTTCACTCACAGTAACAGGAATGAGTTTATTGAAGGGATAGGTGAGGGAAAGAGGACATTCAAAAGTGAGAGAGTGGGTCCTCTCAGACAGGAGAGGGACAATGTACCTTTCCTGCCCCCCAGTTTTATTGGGGATCCCAGAGAAATTTCCAGAGACTCTTGATCAGGTCCACGTCTTGACTTTTGACTGACAGCAGAGTGACATCAGACCAGACATTCAAGTCCCCATTGTCATGGCAACTTTAGGTCATGTTGGCCCATGTTGACCCATTTTAATTGGATTCTTAACCATACATTCTTACAGATTTTATGATTAGTATGAAATATCCTGATCTCCCAGAGTTTCAGGATCTGGTCACAAAAATCTCCTGGGTTCCTTCCATGGATATTATCTTGGGCCTATATTTCTCCTGCAGTTAACAGGTAGTTTGCTGAGGAATGTGACACATCCTGTCCACTTAGGCCAGGCAGGGCTGCTGGTAAATTACTTCCTAGAAAAGAAAGCATATGGGGGTCAATCACATGGGACCATATTTTAGAATTATTCTCTTAATCTTGTGTTCTCACCATTCACCTATGTGTTCTAACAATATGTTCTAACATTTAAGTTTAAAAAATGTTCTGGAGGAATAAACTAATAATGCAAGAAGGAAAAGCATACGAATTTAAAAGATTAATAAAAATATAGTTGTTCAAAGACAAATTACAATATTTAGAAAATACAAAATAATATACACAAAAATTATAAGAATTAGTAGGTATCAAATTTAATAAGCTCACTTGATATGTTTAATTATGCAAAACATCAATTGTTTTTCTAAATATTTATCATAGAAAATGAAACTTTAAAAGTGACATCAATTCTAGAAAACCAAAGGCTAAAAGTTTTCTCTGATATAAGGATGTTAATTCACAATAGGCAGGATGACTAGGGAAGAATAAAGGTTACTCTGTATTAGGCAGAGGGGACTGAAGGGAGGGGAAGAGGAGTGTGGATAATGGGGATAGAAAGGACTGTAGAATGAATAGGAGGTTGTTACACTATGTACATATATGATCACATGATAGCTGTGATTCTACATCACAGACGACCAGAAGAATGAGAAGTTGTACTTCATTTATGTATGATGTGTCAAAATGCATTCTACTGTCATGTATAACTAATTATAACAAAATTTAAAAAAAAACACATTAACTTCATTCCTTTCTAGAAAAACATGAACAGTTAAATGTCATTGTTCAGAGAGAAAAAAAGTGATATCACTTAAATTAGCAGTAAAACTTCAAGAACTAGCAACAAGTTTAATAAAAGATTTATAAACATCCACACAGGAAATGATAAGACTTTACTGAGATAAATTAAAGATATAACTAATGGTGGAATATGCACAGATTGAAAGACTATTATTATAGAAAAGTCAGTTTCCTCAAATTAATCAATAGATGTCATACAGACCCACTGAAAACACCAGAAGAATCTTGAGTGAAATGTAACAAACTAATTCAAATTCTTCATGCAAATAAAAAGTGTTCACTATAACAAAAAGATATTGAACATAAAGTTGGAGGGCATACATTATCATATATCAAAATCATTATAAAGCTATAGCAACTAAATCTTTTGTGTGGATGGCACAAAGATAGGAAAAATCATTGATAAAAAATAGAGAATTTGAATCCATATCCTCTGATTTATAGTCAATCATTTATGATGTTGCAGCAGTGCATTGAAAAAAGTGTTGTGTTTTTAATAAATGATGCCAGGTCAATTTTATATCCATGTGGGGGAAAATAAAGTTGGGCCCTACCTCAGCCTCAAAAAAAAAAAAAAAATCAATTCCAGATTACTAATCCTAAACATGAAAGGTAACATGTTAGCATAAGGAAATGTTTCCTATACAGGATATTTTAAAAATCAAAAAATATTGACAAATTTTACTTTTTTAAATTTAAAACTATATTCAACAAGAAAACATAAACAGTATAAAACAATAAAGAACCATGCAGTATAAAATATTTGCAATAAACACATCAAAGGAATCCTAACTAGAATATATATAGCATTCCTATGAATCAAAATTTTAATGAGGCAAGAAAATTGAAAATAGGAAAAACTACAACAGAGATTTTTATAAAACAGTATATAAAATTGTTCAACATTATTAGCAATCAGAAAATATAAAATAAAACTACATTATTCCTAGAACTAATAAGAAATTATAGCATGATTTCAGGATGCAGGTTACTATACAAAATCAATTGTTTTTCTATATCTCATAAATGCTCAAGTACAATTTTAAATTAAAAACACATTGTCATTTATAGTGACAGGCCACAACAATAAAATACTTAAATACAAAGCTTCATATGAAGAAAAAAATAGAAAATTTCTCCTGTAAAAATTAAAGAGGAGCTAAATAAATGCAGAGCTATTCCATGTTCATGGATAAGATTGCATATCATCAAAATGTTGATTCTTCCTCTTCCAAACTTTATATGCAATGAAATCTCATTTAAAATCTCAGCAATTTATTTCCTGTATATCAACAAACTTATTCTATAGTTTATATGAAGAGGTAAAATTCTACAATAGTCAACTTAATTTTGAATGAGAAGAAAAAAGTTGGAGTACTAACACTATCTGATTTCAAGTCTTACTCTAAAGCTACTATAATTAACATTGTGGCCAATGCCACTATGTAAAGGAATAGACAAAGAGAACAATGCAACAGATATAATTGGTCCAGAGACTGACCCACATAAATATCATCAATAAATCTTAGACAAAGGAATAAAGATGAATCATGGAAAAAAGAAAAAATCATGGTGCTGGTGCATTTGGACAAGTGAACTTACCTACTGGATTCAGGACATGGACTCTTTTTTCTTTTTTTTTTTTTAAAGAGAGAGTGAGAGAGGGGAGAGAGAGAGAGTGAGAGAGAATTTTTAATATTTATTTTTTAGTTCTCGGCGGACACAACATCTTTGTTGGTATGTGGTGCTGAAGATCGAACCCAGGCCGCACGCATGCCAGGCGAGCGCGCTACCGCTTGAACCATATCCCCAGCCCCAGGACATGGACTCTTTACAAAAGTTAAACCAAAGCATCTCATAGACCTAAATGTAAGATTTACCAAATTTAAGGTAAAACATAAGTTTGTATGCCCACGAAGCTCAACAAATTTCTAGGAGGATAAACACATACCTTGACACATCATAATCAAACTGTGGGAAAGTAAAGACAAGAATCTTGAAAACAATAAGAGAGAAGTGATTCATTGCTTTCAAGAATCTCCAATAGATTCTTCTCTATTATCTCATCAGAAACCACAGAGGCCTGAGGACTATAGGGATATGTTCAAAGTACTGAAAGGAAAAGTCTGTCTACCAATAATTTTATGTCTAGCAAAAGTGTCCTTCTAAAGGAAAAATTTAGAAGTTTCCAGATAAATAAAAACTGAAAGAAATTCAGTCCTAGTAGATCTGCCCTGTAGGAAACACTAAAGGTAGTCCTTCAGGGTGCTATGAAAAGAGGCTGAAGTCAAATTCACATGAAGAAATACAGAGCATCAATAGTGCTTACTAAATAGATAAACATGAATAAGTGTCAATGTATAATTTGCAACACTATTTTACTTCCATATGACTTAAATGACAACTACATAAAACATTAACCATAAACCTGTGTAGATAAGCATACCTTAGTATGAAGATGAAATATGTCATATTAACAACAAAAAAAGGAGAGGAACAAACCTATGTAAGAACAAACTTTTGTATCCTATTGAAATCAAAATGGTATTAATCTCTACAACAATAATATAAATTAAGATAGTAATTGTAATTCCTAAGACAACCAGTTAAAAACACATCAAAACTATGTAAAGATAGTTTTAAAAAAAGGAAAAGGAGATTCAAATTGTAAACAATAATAGACTAAAACTTCTCTACTTAACCTAAAAGTGGATAGTAATGAAAAATCAAGGAACAAAACAAGATATGTGATATTTAGAATATAAATAGCAAAATAGCAGCTGTAAGTTTCTTCCTCATCAGTAAACATTTTAAGTTAAATTGAAATAAAGTCTCCATTTAAAAGCAGAAATTGGCAATATGGATAAAAACAACAAAATCCTACTAAAAGCTATTTATAACAAACAGACTTGATTCAAAAACCAAAATAGTTTGAAAATTTAAAAAATGGGAAAAAATACATCATGCAAACAGTAAACCAAAAGAGAGTTGGAGTGACTATATTAAATGCAGATAAAATATATTTTAACACAAAAATTATTGCTAGAGACACAGGACATCATATAATGATAAAAGGATTAACCTATCAAGAAAAACTAATAATTATAAATGTATATGCACTTAACAGACTCCTTCAAAAAATACATGAAGCAACAACTAACAGAATTGAAGAGAAAAACAGATGGATATACAATAATAACAGAAGATTTTACCACCCCACATTCAATAATGTTTAGAATAACTACACAGAAGATTGGGAATGAAATATGAGGTATCTAGAAGCCATTACTTTTTTTTTTTTTTTGTATGGGGGATTGAACCCAGGGGAGCTATACCACTTAGCTCCATCTGCAATCCTTGTTTTTTATTTTGAGACAGGATCTGGCTAAGTTGCTGAGGCTGGCCTGGAACTTGCAATCCTCCTGCCTCAGCCTCCTGAGTTGCTGGGATTACAGGCTATTTTTTAACTTTAAAAATATCAAGTATCTATCCACACATGTTCAACATTGTCCAGGAACATTGATAGAGTTGGGTGAAGCCACCATCTCTGCCTTCAGGAAAGGCCACAGCCATCTAGCATCTCAGCCCCCTCAACCCCTGGGATCAGGCAGTCTCATCCCAGGCAGGCTCTGCTCTTAGCCTCTCTCTGCTTAGGCAGAACACCAGGTATGATGACATCAAGCCCACCCTCCTGCTGCTGTGGCTGTAACTCTTAGCTCTTCTAATAGGAATCAGGTTTTATCTAAAGTACAAGGATTAAGGCTCTAAGATTCTTGCCTGTGCTGCAATTTCTCTAAACCTGATGTCTGCTTTGGCACACTGATCTTTTGGGACACTGATTCCTACCCCTGGCTCTTCGAAGGGAGTCTAATGTAATAATGCCTTGGTAATGATGACCTGCTAGACTTCCTGCTATTACCAGCTCAGTTGAGTTTTTCTGTAATCCACCAACTAATAGGGATACCTCTTAGTCCCCTTTGGCATTGGTAGTCTCTGCAGATCACCACTTACCTGAACTGTGCTCCTGGGTTTGTCTGGGCACATTAGCTTCCAGTTCCCTGTGCCCTCTATATCAGCCCTTTTCTGCTAAAACTTACATTCCCTCCAATAAAGAAGACACATAATGATACAGATAATTGCAAGACAGAGAAAGAAAATAAGGCACATTTTGATAATGGTTCTAAACGGTGAAAACAAAGTAATATGTAATTCTAAAGTAGTTTTCATCTGATTAGGGATTCAGGAAATAGATTATAATGGAAGTGACTTTTGATCTTGGTTTTGAGTGATGGGTAGTTTTTTACCAACAGGATTGCCAGGGGCAGGGGCAGATGCAGATTTCATGGGACCTGAAACCTATAGAAATAAGGGAAAGTGAGGTTCTTCCAGAATACAAAGTTACAAACACAAAATTTAATGACTCACTATCCATTAAATAATAATTGTTATTCATTAAGTAATCATTAAATATAATTACTTAATGAGAATGAAAAAAGAAATCAGAAATGTGACCTTCAAAATCTGGCAAGTATCCCAAACATCACAAAATCCAGAAAAAACAGCAAAATATTTTTTCTAATTTACTACCTGACATACTGTGTAGAACAACTTTACTGCAGTTTTTGTTTGTTGCATTTTTTTTTGCTACATACTCTTTAATGACTTATGCATGACACTGACTTTGTAATATTTTTCTGAAGAGAATAGAAATAAATTTCAATCTTTTAATGATATAGCTGATTAAAATTTCCTTTTATTTCACAACTCATTGCACTGTATATCACATATAATTCTAAAGTAGTTTTCACATAAATTATGTAGTATATCACATAAATTTTTAGAACTGTTGTCAAATTTGGAGAAATATTTGTTCAAGCTGTTTCCTTAGAAAAGACTTACTCACTGTAGTACTGTTAACAAGTTTCCTAAAAACACAGGAAGTTATACAGTGAAATGCTAAACTCTCCCCCATAGATATGTACAATTACTATGTGTCAATCAAAAAATTTAAAATATATTTTTAAAATACAGGAAGTCTGATAAATTTTTTAAGATTTTTTTTTAGTTGTAGATAGACACAATACTTTTATTTTACATATTTATTTTTATGTGGTGCTGAGGATCAAACCCAGTACCTCACACATGCTAGGCAAGTACTCTACCACTGAGCCACAACCCCAGCCTCCCTCTGTGATGAATTTTATTTTATGTAAGTCCATCAAAAAAGAAAAAAAAAAAAAAATATATATATATATATATATAGTGATAATTTGACAAGAGAGTGCTTATAATTAACTATCAATAACAACAAAATTATTTTCTAAAATTGTACAGGGATGACTGAAAAGAGCGTTCTATAAACCCACTTTTGTTTCTAGGACCCATAGGATATAATCATAGTGATGTATAGTGATGTACAACCACTGACCCTGTAATTGGGCATGAATGCTGGTTACCAGGCCCAGGGAAAAAAGTAAAAGATTCTGGGAACTCAATCCTGCCCTGGATCAGCTTGAACTAATCATACATAAATGAATTCAAGCAGCACAATTATCTCACTGGAACAAAATTAAACACACTCCTAACTCAGGTCAATCTTATGCTCAATTTTACAAATGTCCATAGATATTGCCAACATGGGGAAGAAAGCAGAAATTAAATCAGAGCAGTACTTTTGTAAAACTTATGGAATTATGTGACATATGAATACATTGCTAAGATCCTTCCAGGACCCTAAAGGGAACCAATGTAAGAAACAACCTTGAAACTAAAGCTTCATCAGCACCCCTAGCTTTAAGGCATTTTCAGACAGAAGAATTTGGCAGTCTCATCCTGAACCCTTTAATTGAGTCTGCTGACTCATCTAGTAAACCATCAGTTTTACCTAATAGCTTGTTGCACTAACAGAGGCATACATTTAGAACAAGGAGTGACAGTCCCGATTCTGAGAATCAACTTTAAAAGACCATCTGATAAAATGAGAGACATCCAGAGAACAGTGAGCAAGAAGGTGCCAAGAGGCAATAAAAAGAATAGATATTAGAACTTGGATATTTAGCATGTCAAAAAGACGATTTGGGGAGAAATAGGATTTTCACCAAATGTGAAAGGGTCTGTCATGGGGATGAGGACTTAAGACTTGTTCTACATTATTTGGGGCAGAAGAAGAACCAGAATGAGGTTCCAAGACTCAGTGTAAAATATACATAAAATGTCTCATTAATGTTTATATCGGTTTCACGTTGAAATGATAATGTGTTAGATGAAGTGAACACACATTAATTCACTAGTTTCTTTCACAATTTTAATATGGCTTCTAGACATTTTAGACATACACGTGTAACTTGCATTTACAGCGTTCATTATATTACTATTGGAAAGCAGTGGTCTCAGTCTTTTGTCTCACTGAGATAATCCACGGGCTGTCAAAGCCATTGTAATTTTACCACAAGCTGAGGTACCACAGCTATTTTATATTTAGGCAGCTTTTACTTGAAATTTTCTTCTCTTAAACATAATGCTTTTACTGTACCTGTTTCATTGGTGTCACTTGGCATTTTCTTCAGAAAGGAAAATGAGCTCCTATAGTGTTCAAAGAATAGCCCAATAAAGATACATTACTGTCCCTTTTCTCAATAGGAATATATGGGTCACAACAGTATGTCTG